ACAGACCATCAGTGACAAAAGTGACATAATAGAATCTGCTCTGAAGAAGCTAACGGAATGGTCAAAAATGAAAGGTTTGGGCATAAACCCAGACAAAACCTAACTTATTAAAAGAGATATCGTGATATACTCTGACAGCTTGGGTGCTTTAAGAAGCCTCACCATGCAAGGAGTGAGATCGAAAAATATGAGGACTAAGGCTAAGAATTACTGTCCTGGCTGCGTCAAGGCGGAACCGCTCTGTGCTAGGTACCAGACCACAGCTGTTGCTATTAAGCAACCAGAAAGTGGACAAACTCGCCAAAGAGGCGACCAGGGAAGAAACTGAAGAGATTATCAGCAGGATTTTTAAACACCACTGAAACAACTGTTATAAAACCATTTTCTGTTACTCTATTTTTTACACTTTTATGATACTTCTTTATGAATTCTGGTTTAAATTTTAATAGCTATAACTGTTCCTTTAACCAACACGAAATGGTAAAATTTTACACCGATCACATTTTATATATTTCGAAATGACTATAAAATTGTCCGTAAATCACGCACAGACCACAAGAAAAAAATGTGTCTGTGATATTTATCTTCATTTTTAAGTCTGAGAATTTGATTCACGAATAAAGTTTTTGTAGTATAAAAGTTATATTATAGTTCCATGTATAATAGCTTCAAAGTTTTATAAGAAGAAAAATACGTGACAAGAGAATTTAAGTTTCTCTAAAAACAAAAATTTAGAATCTCAACAACATGTGACATATGGGGATACATTTTGAAGGCGAGGGAAGAATATAAATTGTTTATATTATTTTTTTTTTAAATTGTTTATATTATTTTACGAGAAAATTAATAAAAACATAAAAATATAGTTGAAATTGTTCAGTCCTAAAAATCAGAACGCCTTTCTATGGTAATATAATTTCTTTTTATAGATTTGGTAGATTGTTATTGATAGAATTAACATATTATATTGTATTAGAATTAATATACAAGGTGGTCCGAACTGTATTACGGAAACTTTGGCAGCATATTCTACAGATCAAGATAAGTAAAAAAGTTCGTATAAATGTATGTCCTAAAATGCTTTTTAGTTTCGGAGATACAGGGTGAAGAAGTTTCATTTTTATTTCGATTTTTTCCAAATAATTTCTGACGTAACGTCAATATTTGGATGAAAATTGGTATCTGGGGGTTTTGTGATACGAGAAATTTGATTTTAATGTCAAAATTACTCCTGTGTGTAGGGGGCGCCACATACATGTGTTTTAACTGTTTTGAGGAGTAATAACTTTTCGACCGTACCTGTATATAACCACTGACTAAAAAAATATACATTTCCATGACTTTATATGTCAAAAATATCTCTTGGTAAAAATCGCTACGAGCAACCGTTCTCAAGATATTTAGAATGGAAATAGTCAATACATGTCATTATTGACAAAAATAAGCACACGTTGAGTATAGTATTTAACTGAAATAATAAATTTTCACTTTTTTAAATTAATAATAAGTTTTTCTGCGAAAAAAATATGATTAAACAGTTTCTTTTGAACTTTTGACACAAAATAATTTCAAATTTATGATTTCAGTGTAATAACTATTTAGTCAACATGTTTGATTTATATCAATGATGACAGGTATTGATAATTTCGATTCCAAATATCTCGAGAACCATTACTCGTAGCGATTTTTAGCAAGAGACCTTTTTTATGTTAAGAAAGTCGTAAATGTATATTTTTTGACTCAGTAGTTTTATACAGGTACCGACGAAAAGTTATTACTCTTCAAAACAGTTAAAACACATGTAGGTGGCGCCACCTACAAATGAGAGTCATATTGACATCAAAATCAAATTTCTCATGTCAAAAAATACCCATCCACCAATTTTCATCCAAATATTGACGTTACTTCAGAAATTATTTGGAAAAAATCGAAATAAAAATGAAACTTCTACACCCTGTATCTCCGAAACTAAGCATTTTAGGATATACGTTTATACGAACGTTTCTACTTATTTTTATCTGCAGAATATGCTGCCGAAGTTTCCGGAATACAATTCGGACCACCCTGTATATCGTCACCAACTTGTATGAACGTCAAGTAGAGAAATCGACTTCTAGTTATACAAGTTTATCCAACGGTTCCACTACGACCTTTTTAGGTCTACTATATAGTCCTCTTTTGGACCTTTGAGTTACATTCTACAGTCAACAAGTTGGAGATTGATCCCTTCATATTGCTTTTTGTCAGTGACGTATCAGTGCATAATACAAAGAATAGCACCTTTCAAAGGCTGTCCCACTGACATAATATGTATTCTGTCGGCTCTACTTCAGATTGCCAAAATATGTACATGTCTTTCTCCGTCAACCCATCAAATTTACATGCTTAACATTATTAAGCTTACAATGCTCTATTAGATCATCTACAACTTTGACAATCTTTCTGCGTTTGCTCATGAAGAATATAAATAATAATATAATAGTCGACTCAGTTACTTTGAGCTCTAAGTAGATATCAATCCTGTAATGTTATATAATCCGTTATTAGAAAGGAAATGTTTGAACGCACAATAGGTATTGTGCTTTTGTTTATTGCAAATATGTTTTTCATATTAAATAGTTACACTATTATTTTCTCTTTTGTAAAGTTTATAATGAATTATAATATGATTTTTTGATGTACGTGTATATGTAATAGATATGAGATGCATTAAAGTATATGCAACACATTTATACTTTTGTCTATTCATATTATAGTGAAAATTGTGTGGTGCTTTTGTTAAGCTAATTACCTCGTAGTAAGAATTTTTCACAACTTTGTTTACCTTTCAGGCTAATTAAACATCGTATATTAATTTGACGTTATTTTGTTACAAGTTTGTTTCCCTAGACCATTTACATGGATATATCAACACCTTAATATTAGAGTTAGAAGGGCTAATTTTTCGCTTAAACTTTGAGAACCATATCTATATGATAATGTTCGTAATATTTTCCGGATTTTCTTTCTTGTAAATGTAATCTACTACCTATGTTGCCATATCATAAGATATTACGTTTTTTAAGATAAAATTTAAAAAAATAAAAAAGTTTCAATTTCGATATTTTCCCGAAAAAAAACCTCATAAACGTTGTTCTGGGGTCCAAATATACTACCCCTATAAATATTTGCAGTGTGTTGATCTGCGGTGCGAGAGATGGGATGGATGGTACTGGGTTCGATCTTCGGCCAGTACGGTCGCTTTATTTATTTACATAAAAATATTGATTTATCTATATAGAGCGACCAGCGAGCCGCCACCTCAAGGAAGGGAATGGAAAACCACTTTGAGTATATTTGCCTTGTACAGCCCCTCATATAGTGCCGTTCCGATTCGGCAATAACCTGTATAGTGTGACCAACGGATCTGTAGCTACGGGGTATCGGCAGGGGAACGCAGTTGTAAACAAAACACGCCCAATTTCTTTCTAAAAAATAAGCATGGGCGTACGGTGTTATATGAAAATAATGTGTATCATAAATATAATACTCAGATTAATATTTTTTTTCAAAAAACTTTATGATGTTTGAATCGTTACTGTTGAGTTAGCAGATAAAACTAAAAGCTTTTATTAAAGCTCCCTTAAATATTTTGAATCATTTTATTATTGTGTTGTTAATATAATAGAAGAAATAATTACAGCTGGGGGTTGGAACCTTTGGTGTTACACAGCAAAATAAAACACTAAACCAGTACAATACACCAAAACACTTTTAATTTTACACTGGACGCACGTTTCGCTAACCATGTCTGCCATCAGCAGATGATCAAGACTGAGTCTTGAGGTATATTTATTTATATATCTGTACTAACTATATTTTTTTCTATAATACATAATTTTAGATATAACTATTTCCAGCAAAAAAAAATCTTGAAAATAATTAACTTTGGAAGCGCAAACAAAACATAATTTTACTCACCAGTAGATCCAATATTGCCTATTACACCAGATATGGTATCGCTCCGCCAGCAGTTTTTAAAGGTTAGGTCATTGACTACCCATATGTTTCATCCAAATAGATAATACTTGGCTATATTTTCGAATTTCGCGTATATATTTATATCTCTCTCTGCAATATAATGGGCCGCTCCATTAATATTTATCTGTTATTTTGACATTTACGCCAAAAAAAATCATTTGATTTTAATAACCCCCTAAGCGTTTCCTTGCAAAAGGAAAATTCGATTATTCCTGCAATTTTTGCAAAAGCTTTCTAATTGCGGGGACGAGTTTGAATTCGAGATAAAATCTATTTATCAAATTCCTGACCACTTCGAAAAAGTCGTCGAGCTTTTCGACAAGAGTCTCACGTGGTCGTTTCTTTCCAAAGCTGGATATCATTTTATCGGGGTTAGTTTTCAGCCTTTTTTTATCTTCTGTGTGAATTTTTTTTATAGCCGATACGCTAACTCCGGTATAAAGAAATATCCGCTCAAGTTTACGTTTAAGCGGCAACTTAAGCGAACTCTCTGTAGCTTCTTCATCGCAAACCCTATTATGAACACAAGGAAATAAACCAAATGAGATTTCATCCACGTTATTATTAACTTACCTATATAAATTAGCTATTATTTCTCTTGGTGGTACAGGTTAGCATAATAGAACCATTATGATAGAAACATCATTTCGGAAAATGTAATAATATACCAAGTGTTTGTTTAAAATAACAAAGATGCTACCAATTTTAGTATGAAGCGGCATCACTGTAACGCTGAAAATAATTTAGACAGATGGAGCAAGAGCCCTTACGCAAAAATCTAAATTTTTAAAAAATCCTATGACCGGTTCTCCATAAATGTCTAAAGTACCATAGCCGTGAGTCACCCTGTATTAGTATACAAGATGGTATTTCAAGTCAAATTGAATTTTGGCTCATTAACATATTTGGAAAATGCCAATTGTTGACCAATTGAAAATTATTTTTCCAAATACGTTAATGAGCCAAAAGGTATTACTTACCAGAGTTAAAATAATAAGTATGTTTCCAACGACGGCAAGCATAAATATGATACAGTACAGTGGAATTTGAATTTTTTGCGGACCGTCCCACACCAACACTTGGTTCTTTGGTGGCGCGGATGTAGTGGTCCAATTTGACGTGTCCATCGTCGACCAATTAGAATCGAACGAGATGGGATCAAATGTAACTAATTGGTCCATTTTCACCTATCTATTTCCTCTCCCCTTTATTCGATTGCCTCGAAATCCATTCTATGTGTAATTCTATTCTGGTTCAATAGTGTAGCGTTCGATTCAGTCCGTTTGATTGAAATTGGGTCTATACGGATCCATGCCTGCAACAAATTGCGTATTGTTATTAAGTTATCTATCTTTATACAGAGAATTTTCTTTAAGTGTAAACCTAAATATGTACTAGGATGTTTCAAGCAAATATTTTAAAATGTGGCTCAAAAAAGTACTTCTACAAGGTGGTCCAAAAAAGTATTAGTGAACCTTAATTTTTTTACACATTTTTATTTGCAGAATATGCTACAGAAGATTTTGATTACAATTTGGAGTAGTCCCTGTATGTCAAATTTGATTTTTATTATCATTTTCCAGCCTGGCTATAACATATATATCCAGATCCAGCCAGTTTTTTCTTCCCATCTTTCTTTTAAAGGGAAATTTTTTATGGCTCTGTATTTACCGAATCAAATTCCAAGTCACAACTTCGATTTAGGCATCCTATTAAGCATCGAGTTCGACGGATAATATTAAAAGGGAAAATTAGAAGTTCGTGGAAAATTAAAGTAAGCCGGAAAAAGCACCCTATTAGTCCAAGGTCCCAGGGTTCTCAGACCTTACTTATTTTCTCACAAATACGATTATAATGTATGGGGTAATGCAGAATTAGATATTGAGGGTATGCAATAATCAATACTAACTTGGCCCTAACTAACCGGCCGTGAAAGCCTACACAATTTTATCAACTATTTGGATTTTTTAAAATAAAACGAATAAAAATCATATTTCAAATTCCATTGAAAACTGGGGTTTTAAATTATTTTGTAACTCATTTTTTCATTTATATTAGCAAACTTAAAAAACATTTTTTTAGTACCTAACCAAAATAAATTGAAAATATTTAGTTTTTTCTATCGTATCTTAATTATTATGGAAGCTATCTGAAAACTTAAATCGATTATTAATTGATAATTGGTTATTGATAATAAATCAGTTGTTTATCCAGTGACGTCGTAAGTACTTCAAAAATAGTAATAAAAATGTCTTATTTTAATAACACACCCTGTATCAATATTTATCAAAATTAGAACTTAAGTATTTTGGGTTAGGAGGATTCAATATAATTTATCAGATTTGAAATAAATACTGTCCTACGGGTAGTTTACTCTTGACTCGAAAAATATCAAATCCCATTAAAACGTACGTCTATGAAGTATCGCATTTCTTACCCTGGGCAAAATGTACATCTTATAGCCATACAGCCTTCTGCCAAAAATAAAAAAGATCGCTCAACAAACAAACAAGATATTGGCTTGTATCCATCTTAAGTGCGACACCCTGTATAATGCTGATCAAAAGCAATATTACCTGTATATTTTGTGATCAAAAAACTAAGAGCGCTTGCACACACACTGGCACCCGTTCCGACATTTGTATTTAATTCTATTGTATTTGCCGATCCCCGATTGTTTTATCGGATCAGAGTATAGGTATGTAAAGGAGCTAATTTATTTATATTGCAATCGATTTCAGGTACGGCACCGGCACCGATTTTGCAGGCGTGTGTGATAGCGCTCTAACTCTTTCAGACGAGGACGCTGTATCCCAGACGCGCGTATCTCAGATACAGAAAAAGCATGTAGTTAAATTGTACCTTACACATGGCATTCGGCGGCGCATACAGTATCGTGTGGCCGAATTTTTGAATGTGGAATTTTCAGCCGCCCGGCGACGAAGGAGTATCCGGGATTCAGAATTATCATAGTAGCTTATGGACCTGTTCAGACTTGCATATTTTGCGATCCAAAAAGTTCGATTTCATAGGCGAATAGAATATTTATTGTAGGTTTATTATAGGAAAATAATAATTCAGTAGTGAGAGTGAGTTCGAACAATAAATAAGAGAACCATGGATCGTGCCGCTTTCGATAATGAAAAAGCTTTGTATTATTATATATATGCCTCAGCAGAACGCACTCTTCAATATTCATTTTATAATACAATAATACAACTGCACCGCACTGAAATTTGTTTTAAACTAGAATATTATTTTGTACCTGAAAAAAAGTATGCCAAAAGAGTATCTCGAAAGTATTCGACTGTAATTCTCTATCCCGTATACAGAATCTCGCATACAGTATCCTCGTCTGAAAGAGCTCTAGGGCAAGGCGCGCACTAAAGTGATGTGGCGCTGGTGAGGCAAAGGAATGGAGTGAGGCATAGGAATGGTGATTAACTGGAGTGGAACTGGAATAGCGGCGAAGTGGCATGAAAGTGAAGTAATGCGCAATTGCGCACTGCAGTAGTAAGCGACGTTAGCGTCACTGCGTCATCTCATCAGTAATTTTATTATTATCGAAAATGTCATCAGCCTCAGAGGATTAACTAAACGCTCAATAAAAAAAATTGAAGAAAAAACATTGTTATTGGGTTCATCCTTTGTGACAGAAAAATAAAATAATTTTTGGTATTTTTAATAACGTTTATAAAAAGAATTTGAGCCTGGGCGACCAAAAGTTTAAACTTTTCTATCAAATGAAGATAATGACATTTTGCAAGTTGTTATACAGGGTTGTTCACCACATACGATACGGAGTATTGTAGCTAAACGGCTAGATTTTTACAAATTGTAAGTTTTGGGTTGGTTGAAGGACTATTAGAGCTACAATTTAAAAATATTTTTACAAGATACAGAGTGTCCCAAATAAATAAAAAATATCAAAGTTTTATTTTTTAAATGGAACACCCTATATATTATTACATTTTTAGTTTCTACGATTAAAATAAAGGTAAATTTGATTAAGGTTTATTACACTTAAACCTTACCGTTTTTGAAATATCTTCAATTTTGTGAAATTGCAGTATAAATTTTAAGGCTTCATTTCTCCGAGGGTATCAAAGTTTTTAATACTAAATATTTACTGAAATTTATTTATTGATCAGTTATTGTATTGCAATAATAAAAACTTTACTACCTTATACAGAGTGTCTAAAAATTTATTTTAAATAATTACTAGCTTGAAACAGCAATAACTTGTTTAATTTAAATGGAACACCCTGTATATTTTATGCGAATCAGATGCACAATTTAATTGTGTATCAAATTGTATTATACCATTTTTTACCTATCTCTTCAAGTTTCCGTAGAAAATGCATTTTCTTGTAATTTAGAACTCATTTATCAATATACCCATGGAATACTGATATTTTAGATTATTTTTAAAGATGTACCAAATTTTTAAAGAGTACAGATACTAATATTGTCGATATAGTTCATTTATTTCATTAAAAAATAAAAAAAAAACTGTTTAAATATTTGTTAAAGAGGACCAATTAATATGATTTCAGTATTCAAACTACATTAATTGACTGTTTGCGTTGATTAATAATAATTGCTCCAAATACTAAAAAACTGAATTATGTATGTGTATTAGACAGTGTGGTAAAAAGTAACAACTTAAAAATTATATTTAATTTGTTGACAAATGCTTATTTATAACAACAGAGGCGTTCATTTTCATAACTTATTATTATATTGATTTCTGATTCAAATCCACATTTATTTAGAATAATTTATTAACGAACACAATTAAGTATGTAGTTAATTAGTATTTGGGCGGAAATACTGGTGGTATATTTAATTAATGGTATACTCTTTTATAAAGATTTAAATAGTTTTCTTTTAGCATACAAATGGGCTAGTAATATTATTTATTTTGTGTGGGTGTGTGTCAATTAGTTTTAGCTACAATACTCCGTGTCGTATGTGGTGAACAACCCTGTATAAGAATAATATAATTCATACTTCAGATCAGAGTAAAAAAAATATTTAAATAATATAATTACATATTGAAAATGCAGTTGCAATTTTCACCAACTGACATTTTAGACAAAACAAGAAAATTTTTCAAAGTGCCTATCTGTTTTCAGTCATTCTTCAAAATGCCTAATGAGGCCTAGGCAAATTGCACAAAACATTTTACTCAGGATTAAAAAAAAAGCGCAAATCAATATGCCTATGCTCATAGCTGACTAAATTTTGATCATTTTTTAATCTGCCTGGTTTACATTTGGTATTTTGTATAACAGGCAGTCTTTTTGCACAAATGTACGATAAATATCGTCATTGTTTAATGGTTAATATGCCTAATTCTGATTAGGGTAAAAATCCTAATCATGCAAAAGCAAAACGACTGATAACACGCTCTTTGTAAAAATTTGTACTTTTGTTCAAAATACCGGCGTTTTATAATATGCCTAGTCCTTTTGCAGCAAGCCCGGATTATCCTATATATATATATATACTACATTATCCCACACATTTTATTTGTAACGAAATAACTAAGGTCTGGAAACTCTGATTGGATCTTGCTCTATGTAAAGACCAATCGCAGAATTAATAGAGCAGTAATAACGTATGGGTAATCTTTGTACAACGTTGGTGAATATTGACTGAAACGGAATATCCAAAGCCATTTCATTTGCCTATTGGCAGTTGGAAATGTTTTTGCTGTTTTCATTTTCATATTTGTTCAGACCGCTACAATTTCTTTGGAATAGATTACGATTAGTAATTATTTCCGGCAACTCGCCTTTCTAAATCTATATAATATTACTATTATTAACTCGCGTTTTAATTTTATCAAAATGCAAATTGTGTAATAACTTAGTTGATTAATTTTTCTTAAATATGCAGATTTGTTTGTTGGATATATTTATTGCTCTATTGTTAACGTACCGGATGTGTCCATCTACAAACGTGTTAAAACTGTCTGAATTTCATTGGAAGACTGAATTTGGTCCCATCTTTTGACATCTTGTGCTATGAGGCTTTTAGAAATACACTATAGAATGTCTAAAATTATAAACGAAAATAAAAGTATCAAAATATGATAATTAATTACGGTTCCATAATTATATATTTTTATATAAAAGTACTGTACTTAATAACACCACTTTTGTACTTAGTAACA